ATAAGCGATTCCGCCCCCCCCGCCATCTTGGTACGGCCTGTCCGGCGTCAGGCGTTCCAACCCCCCCCTGACTTTCCTCTCAGGTTGGTTCAGCCCCCGTCTACTCTGGGGTGGTGCTTAGCCGGCGCCAGACCGACCCTCGACTTCGTAGAGGCAGTGCAGTACCGCTGGGAGCTCCGGCGTCGGCTTCAGCTCCCTCTGGCTCCTCGGAGACCGCAGATCCTGGTATATGCCACACCTGTGACCCCGCTCGAGATATGTCCACCCCGGCCCGGCGGCGTCTCATGAGGGACTTCAAGAGGTAACCTCCAGCCGGTGGAGGAGAGCGGAGGCTGGGGGCTGCCTGACTGGGACTCAGGGCGGATCCCCCCGAAACGGAGCGGGTCGGGTGTGGTGCGGGAGGCCGGTCGCTCGGCCGGGACTGAGGGGACCCGGTGTGTGTGTCTGAAGGTTACAGGAGGATCCTCCGGCCGGAGTGAGTGGGGCTCCGTCAGAGAACAACATAATGGTTTGGAACGCGGTCATTTTTGGGTGAGTCTGCGTTCAGGGTGCTGCCGAGGGATTGGGGGACCCGGGCCGGCCCCGTCGGTTCCCCTTTGGCTGAGGCGCCCGGGGAAAAGGGAAAATGTTTGCCTTTGCTTGGGCCTAGGCGCCTCCCCGGAGCCTGTGCCTCGATTAGCTCGGTTCCCGCTGCCAGGAGAACCATTTGGGGTTCTAGGGGGCGGGGTGGGGAGCGCTTGCGGCGGGGCACGGCGGCCTGGCGGTCTCGGAGCCCCCAGACTTGGACTTGGACTGCCTCTCCAGCACAGGCAGCTGGTGAGGACCAGAGGCAGGGATGCCAGGTCGCGGAGGAACTGTCTCCTAAGACGTGCCAGGGACAGGGAGCCCTGTAAAACGGGAACTGACTGATTTTGGGTTTTTTTGTTTTGTTTTGTTTTTTCTGTTGCAGGCCTGAAGGGACCCCGTTTGAGGATGGTAAGAGAGTTTCTTTACCCACCTTTCAGGAACCTACTCATCAGGGGAAGGGGTTCCCGATCATCCTGCAAGCTCCTGTCCTGCTTTAAGAACCTGCTTTGCCTTGCCTCAGCCTGCTACAGGCTTGTGTGAAATCCAGTGTGTGGAGGTTGTTCTGGATGATCGTAATGCTTGCCTAGAACTGCACCTTTTCTGATGCTTTCTTCTCTTTAAAACATTCTGGGTAAAGTGGCCACTTTTTGAAAGGAGCATCATAGCACTGATAAAGGATTGTGGAGGTTTGAGCTGTGATCCTGCTAAATTCAGCCCCCGTGGAGAGACTCAGTATGAAACCAGCCAGTTGCTGACAGTCACCAGAGACCATCTGGTCCAGTGTTCATTTCATTCCAAGGGCAAGAATTGTGTTCTGACCGGGCGTGGTGGCGTATGCTTTTAATCCCAGCACTCGGGAGGCAGAGGCAGGTGGATCTGAGATCGAGGCCAGCCTGGTCTATATAGTGAGTTCCAGACCAGCTGGGGCTACAGAGAGATCCTGTCTCAAAAGAAACAAACAAGAATTATGTCCAGCAATGCTTAGTATGTGTGTTGAGTGCTGAATGGATGCAAGAGTCCCTTGCACATACTTCTTGGATTCTACAGTGACATAGAGTGCCCATCAGCCTCACAACTCTAAGATGCTCTTAAGTGCCTAATTGGAGTAGAATGTTGTTTCTTGATTTTTAATTCATTTAGTGTTTACTTTCATTAAGACTTTCTTGTCAGTAATCTCAAAGCAACTTCAGAACTGAAGTTTCCCTTAAAGTACCCTTTTGACCAGTGTCCAATCTACTTGAAGGTTGGGTGTGTATCAGGTGTATAACTTTTAAACAATTTAGGTTTAACTTTTTAAAAAAACATATGTTAATTGCTCTTTAAAACTTTATATTTTGCTGGGTGTGGTGGCGCATGCTTTTAATCCTAGCATTGGGAAGTGGGGAGGCAGGCGGATCTCTGTGAGTTCAAGGTAGCCTGGTCTACATAGCGAGTTCCAGGCTAGCCAGGGCTATATAGTGAGACTCTGTCTAAAAAAAAAAAAAAAAAAAACTAAAAGCAAACAAAAAACCCTTTCTAGTTCGAGATAATAATCGTGTGCAGTTGAAATAAAACCTATAGAGACACCCTGTAAAACCACCCCAACTTCCTGTTTGGTAATATCCTGAATACTATAATAATCAGTCAGAAAATTGACAGTGATATAGTTTTATGTGCACTCAATTGTGTGGGTTTAGTATTTTTTTTAAGTTTAATGCACTTAAAAATGATTAAAACTGCTTGAACCTGTGAAATTCTTTAGTATTTGGGGTACTTAAAATCTTTTTGTAATTTTTTTTGCGATGATTTATCTTTTTTCAGTAATACAGCATTATGCATGTACACATATACACATGCACATGCACACATAGACACACATAGACTCTTCATTTAAAAGTGGCAACTAAAGCTGGGTGTGGTTGCACATGCCTTTAGTCCCAGCACTTGGGAGACAGAGGCAGGTGGATCTCTGTGAGATCTAGGTCAGCCTGGTCTACAGAGCCAGTTCTAGGTCATCTGGAGCTACAGGGAGACCTTGTCTCAGGAAAACAAAATCAGAAGTGGCAACCAAAACATTTCTAAGTCTACTTCATATATGTGTTACTGAGTCAGATTGCTTTTTGATGCTTCTAGTCCCCAGTATGCTGGGAGGTGAGATAAGATCAGCTGATTCTATATGTCTTAAATACTCAGATTTCTTTGGGAAATTGGACAGCTACCCAAATACTTTTGGCTTCTTCTCCAACTCACTGCTTGGGTCAATGCTGCTGCTGCTTTTCAGTGCATTAGAAAGAAATGATAGAAGGAAAATTGATCTAAGGCATACTACTTTGGAGCAGTTAATACAAGAGCTAGGCAGACTTAATTTTTTTCTACTAGATTGGTTAAATCTAGGCTTTATGTACAGCCTGCTTCAGCTATGGTGGGCTTTATTTTCACTGCCATTGCCTGCCTCATTTTGCTTAGTCTGTCTTGTGCTAGGTACAGCTTATTAATAACACATCATTTTGCTGGAGGTTGGCTACCTTAAAATTTCAAGGTTGCTTCTTTTGTTTAAAGTGGTATGAATTTAGGTACTTAAAGAATCCATGTCTACTTTGACATGGCTCTGTTTTTGATAGTGTGTATCTCCAATTTGGCATTGCCAAAAGGAATTAAGCTAAATGACCTTCTCTGATTCTGTCAGTCTGCTATTCATGGGTGCTTCCTTAGGTGTTTAGAACTCAACTAGCACAAAAAGTGTTTGAACATTTTTTGAATACTCCTGTTTACAGTTAGAAAATTTATAATTAGGGAAAAGAGGCATTCAGCATAAATGACAGTTGGTTTTGCTGTCTTCCTATGTGTTCCTAAATGGAAAATCCTCACACTCCTTTTGTTCATTACTTATAAGCTATTCATGGTATACATTTCTGAAACAACCAGGTCCTAGTTAAAAAGAGGAGTTCTTTTTTTCCAGACAGGGTCTCACTATGTAGTCCTGGCTAACCTGGACTCATTATGTAGAACAAGCTAGAAGTAAAGGCATGCACTACCACGCCTAGCAAGAAAAGGAATTCTTAAAGATTGTTGTAGTGTCACATGGTTGGAATGAAAGAAATATGCGAATGCTTACATTACCAGTGTACTGTGAGAAAATATTTTGTTAAAATATCTTTGTATGGGGGCTGGAGAGATGGCTCAGTGGTTAAGAACACTGACTGTTCTTGCAGAAGACTCAGGTTTGAATCCCAGAACCCACATGGCAGCTAACAATTGTCTGTAATGCCAGTTCCAGGGGATCTGACAGCCTCTTCTGTCTTCTGTGGGCATTGCACAACATGGGTGCTCTTACCTACATGCAGGCAATACACACATAAAATAAAAATATTAAAAAAAAATAGCTGGGCGTGGTGGCACACGCCTGTAGTCCCAGCACTTGAGAGGCAGAGGCAGGCAGATCTCTGTGAGCTCAAGGCCAGCCTGGTCTACATAGT